TGGATCAGTTTTTCCATGATTATGAAAGCAGACCACACTATAATGGTCATAACTAAACTACTATAATCAGAGAAGTCATGCTAGTAACAATGGTCAACAGAAAGGTTTACTTACAGCGAATCTTTGAAGTTCTAAACTCAGATGAACTAAAGTGTGACCATTGCATATATTGGCATGGAAATTGTCTTCAAAATAATTTACTTGTCTTTTCCTACAGGTTTTTTGCTCTTAAATATGCAGCAGATGCTGCTTGCACTGTATTACAGACCAGGTAATCCAGTAGAAAGAAGCAGCTTCATGACAGCCGACCAACTGCTTTGTGTTAAATTTAGATTCAAACCCCTTTTTAAAAAATTCTGTTTACATAAGTTGGTTGACGAGATCCAGTGTTCAAATTGCAGATTATAATGGCAAAACCAGCCGGTGGTCCGAAAGAGAAAGCAACCTGCAGGAATGGATGAGGACTAGCCTCTGCACTGAAGTCGATCAATTGTCTTCATTGTATCTCACTGAGCTGGTTCTGAACTTCTTTATGCATCTCTTGTTTTCTTTTGGATGCCTAAGAACTTGGCTTGGAAAATTTTGTTTTTTATTTTAAAAGATAGTTTTCGTATATTTAACTATCTGAAATTTTCCATCTAGAGAAAAAGAAAAGCCATCTGAAATTTTTTAATGCGTGGGATAATTGAAGAAATTGAGAAACTTTTTTTCAAATTGGAACATTTAAAAGGGCCTTTAAGGGTAGAGTTCATTTTGTCCAGGATACCCAACTTGAAGATGTAGCTGGTAGTGTTACCTTTGCGAAGAAAGCGACTTTAAATCAGATGTTGTAAGGATAGGTCCGAGGTGCCAAGCCTCGGACTGCTACAGTAATTTCTTTATGACCAAAGTGAAGAATAAATCCAGAACTTCCCGTTCAAGTGGCTGCATGTTAAGGACAATGAGCATGTCCGCACCTGATTCCTTACGATGAGTATCACAACAAGCATGATGGACGCTCGTATACCTGAATACCTCTCAAATTCTTGGTCCCGGAATTATCGTCTGGATAGACACGTCAGGCTCCGACTATCTTGCTTGGCATGCCACGTGGGTTCCTCATTGAATCCTATAAATACCTCCTCCGGGCCACGTCAAAAGGTAATTGAAACCAACCTTAAGCTTTTCTTATCTCCGCCCTAAAGGTAGCCCCGATTATTGCTGACTTAAGCATCGGAGTGTCTACCCCGAGTTCCACCTCGGGGCTTTGCAGGTCATTCCGAAGTGCAAGCGCGGA